TCATGGATATGTTTATGTCAAGGTTCCAAAGCTTTCATGGCCGTTGTATTAACCCGCTGTAAAAAGATAAATAATATTTTCCATAATAGTCTTAGCACATTAATTTAGTTCAAAAAAATCATCCATAGAGTACCGCTGAAAATATTTCGAAAGTCCCCCTCCCCTGCACATTTGCAAAGAAATTCTAAATTGACTTTGTTACTCGATTAAATAATTCGTAATATAGATATATACATATAATAGAATGTCGATTATGTTGTAACTCGAGATATTAGTACCCTTACCAGGGTTGGTTTGTTTGTAAAACTGTGTATAATGATTTTTAAACCAACATTGAACAAATAATGCCCAAAACACTAATGAAACTGAGGTAAGCTTCAGTAGATTTTCAGAAAAAATGTCTGTTTCTTCCTGTCAAACAATCTATTGGAGTTTTGAAAACGACGATTTCAATGAACAATCTTTTATTTAAATTCAATGCTTCACTGTTCAATCACATTTGCGATTGATCAACGATTTTGCATGCAACATGGAATTAACATTTTGGACATATTCCAAGTCAATTGCAGGCAGCATCGATTGTTCCGGCTACTCTACTACTTTTAACTTAACACAGTCTGGTTAAAATAAAGAAAAACAGCAACATTTTTCCAATCTTGTTACATCCGATGACAAATTTCGTGACTGAGAAATAAATTCAACCCGGAAGAAATGAAAGAAAAAATGACTCTATTGATCCACCTTCTCGAAGCTGGACTTTACGTCGTAGACTTTGCGTAGATATCATGAAAAACCGTTACTTCGTACCAATTACTAGAGTAAAGTACACATAAAAAAATTCTTCAATACAAAAAAAAAACAGTTCGGGAGTGTTAAATCTGGAAATCCGCGCGGTCAATGGAAAACGTATTAGTAATGTTTTATTAAGACGAACCTCACAAGTTTAATAATCCGAAGACCAAGAATGAAATCCATGACCTACCATGCCGTTCGACGTGAGTCCTAGTCCCGCTGCACTCAAGGAACTCATGTGATGGTGGTAGGAGGCGGTTGGAGGTGGCGCTGGTGGCGGAGGGCCACTTACAAAGCCGTGAGGATGAGTGCTGTTTTGATACCAATGGCTCATGGCGTGATGGGGATGAAGGGCGGCATTCAAATGTGGATGACCGCCACCCATCGAGTTAAACTGCCCAAATCCGCCTGGAAATCAAAAAATAAATTAGTTTCATGATCGATAAAATCTCGAGCGGAAGGAAGAATCTCTTAACTAATCGGGAGGAAACTCACCTTTAGAGTCCAATGGCTTCATCATGTCACCCATCATTCCGCCTAACGACAAACAGGAAGCTCCAGACTTTTTCTTTTTACTCTTCGAGGATAACTTTCGATTTCTGGTCTGGATGCCCTCCTTTTTCATGGTGAGCGGTCGGTTTACCTGAAACAAAAAACACAATTTTTATTTGACCGAAAAAATTATATACCAAGATGAGATTAATTTTTGTCGGAATCAGGAGAACTTATTTGCCAAAAATGCATCAATGTCAAGCTTCGAAGGAGTCAACATTTGAATCCCAATCACGCAAAATATTGAGTAGAGAGCAAATGCGAGCTGATGACTCATGAATGTATATTTTCCTCTAGGGCACTTGGTATATATAGGGTGGCCCCTTCATCGGGACTGTAACTCAGATTAAATCGACTACCTATACAGAATGGCACAAAAAGTGATTGTTTATTAGGCGTATACCTTATATGTGAAAAATAAAGAAACATTTTTCCACATTACAGCGAAAGGAAATCAGTTTTTGGGTTATACCTTACTCAAGATTATTTCTGTTTCAGTTAGAGAATTTAATACTGTAATCATATGGTGTTTTTTTGGAATAATCGTAAATTTATTTACTCTTAACTCTGTATAGTTGAACTGATTTTGAAACGTGGTCCACTTAATTAGCTAAAAGTTGAGTCACCACGTAAATTCTTCTACATTTTACATATTTTTATTAGCGGTTTCTACTTGAGTACCGTTATTTCCAGGTCTGCTGCTACTAGGGCAGACCGTTTTCCCAATCAGTCAGCTTTTATCTGGTAATTTGCCATGGCATGAAACCGAACCAAAATAATCATACACCCATTATTCGAAAATGGGTACTCAGCGTACCACTCCCGCATAAATCTTGACAACCATTAAATTATACACTTGATCGTTTCGGTAGTTCTTCGGGTTGACAGATAGCAAGATTTCTTATAGGTGAGCCCGGCAGGAAACCTGCTACTTTAGAGTATTAATAATCATTTTATGATAAGTTTCTTTTCACGGCCCGGGTTCCTGATTGTTTACGATCGCTCGATGTCGAACCATTCTTTTCCTGCGTGGAACTGGTGCCTCTGTTGGACTAATTTTCATTTTGGCTTTGTTGTTTCACCGTTGAAAACCACCTGTTGAGACAATTCTACCAATTTGCGTAGCAAACAATTACTTTTAACAATGACGGCAGGTTTCCCAAACCATGTACGGGCTTGTACAAATTGTGAATGAAGGAAATTATGAAACTACTGATTACCATCAACCTTAAGACGAATTTCAGTGGGCGAAAAAAATTGAGACGCTTTATCTCAGGTAGAAGATCACATTTGTTAGGCTCGTTATAAAGGGTGCACTGACACTGATGTTTGTTTGCTACATAGACTCAATGAAATTATGGTAAATTGGTTGTTTGTCTCACAAAATGTTTTCTTTTCCGTTGCTTATATTCAAATCCACCGGGTGGAATTTGCTGGGAACATTGGAACTGCGGATATTTGGTGTGTCCATAGTTAAAACATCAGTTAATGTTTCCCCAAATTTTTTTTCTTTTGCAAAACTTTATCCAGGAAGTAACAAAGACACGCTCATGTTATACATTATATTTTTTAGCTACAAGGTAATTATACAATTTTAGCGCCTACATTGATCGACAGAGAATTTATTCAGTTATGAACAGGACGAGCATCTTTAAAATCGGTGGTTTTTATGATTCCCAAAGTCAAGTCGGGCATTTCATTCTCTTGCTAGAAAAAACGCGGTTTGGTAATTAGCCGATTTCTGAGAAACTGTAACAGATGTCGACTTCGAACATGCACTAATTGGTCGATAATCATTTTCTTTATGGCCCAAGAAAGTTTCCGAAAACCTAACTGTTTTGGAGACTTTTTGAAAAATTAAAAATTGAATCACTCGGTTTCTTCGTTCATTTTTAGCAAACAAAAAGAGTTTTGTTGAAGACCCACACTAAAATATGAAAATCTATATATTTCGCTTGCAATGTTTTTTAAAATTTCTGCTTCCAATTTGATTGCAGATTAGTTCTGCTGCGGAAAAGAAATTATACTTGCCTATTTATATTTGCAAAAATATAAGGAAAATCGTTGCAAATTAAAACTGCAAAACGTTCGCAGTCTTTGCCCGACAAACTTGGCACATTTGTGCGATATTCAACTAAACTTACACCTACATTTGAATGCCAAATGCATATTGTACATTGTTGCGCCCCCTTAATGCCCGAAATCCATAGAAAGCGTCCACATAAATAAAGATTAATCGGTTAAGACCTCGGCCAAATTCGCAGCTAAGCCCTATTTATAAAACACCGAGTTGGCAGAACGATCAAAGAAAGAATCGAAGAAGAATTACTTATCGCGATCCGGCAATCTCGGAAAGGCGTTCCATCGCAACTGACCGGAATAATGCTGAATTTGTCCGGGCTGTTTGCCGTTTCCGGGCTCACTTACTACGGGCATTGATGAGAAAAGTTCCGAACCATTGCCTTTATTTTATCGCTCAGGATTTGTCCGGATAAGACCACTCTCTAACACTCATGATTAGAAAAACGTTTCCGGCGCATCGGATTGCTGGTCCAAGACCGTTTTCCAAGAGTTTTTGTTTAATGATATTCTATGTATGGACTCCAAACAACTGTGCTTGAAGAAGCAATTAAAGCCTCAGCGCTTTGTCATTTTCCTATTGCACACTCACTTCCTTGGATTTTATATATCCATTCCATCTCACAGAGTTCTAAAAAGAAACATTGTGAAAGCAATCGAGTCGAATAATGTGCTCAAAAGCAAGTAAAACGATACTTTGAACAACAAAAGCTGTTATTTTCCACCCATGTCCTTAAAAGCCCGTACAACAAACATTATACGGTAATTGTCGTAATCTGTAGGGCCAATCTGGGCAATGAGAAAGGGCGGTGTAGGAAAAGGAACGATCTGCTCTGTAATTTAGTCACCCGCCGTCTTTGAATAGCTACCGGTACAAAAGTGCATCCCCTTGGATGACAAGAGCCCTACGGGTGTTGTTCCCGGATACAACAAGCGCTATTGATACAGTTGAATGTGTTTTTCTTATTTAAGTGAATTGATTTACGAAAACTATTTAAGTTTCTAATATTGGCAGATAATAGAGCACATCAATTTTCTGCGTATTTCCTTCAAAAAAAACCTTCTCCTCGAACACCACTGATAAACACACGGAATTCTAGTAAAACATGTCAGCATTTTCCAATTCCCGCTTTATACTTTCATGTACCTACCATGAATGCCCATTCAACGAGTTATACATGGTCTTCGTACTTCATAAATATACACCCATTCAATAGCTTCAGTTTCTTGTCCAGTTATTTATTCGGATGCTTCAGCAGTAGTCGATAAATTTCAAAGGTTGCACTTGAAGGAGTTGTTATTTTACATTTAGGTCTGGTTTTCCAATTCAGGCAACGTTTTCATCGAAATAAAGCTTAGTCAAAGGGAAGTCCGTGCAGACTACCAGGAAGAGTTAGCATATTAGATTTAAATGGCAGGAGAACGAAGCCATTATATCTTCTAATGTAGGCAAAACTAAATGTTTCACTTAGGAGTTTTGGGCATTTTTTTTATTTTGAATGGTTGTTTCTTTGTGGCAAGGTCTTCGAGTAGAACACTGTTTCATTTGAAAATAATGACTAAAAATGAAATGAGTATTAAATCTTCAACTAGTGATATCTTGAACAAATAAGACATGGACATTTGCCTCGTACTTCCCTAATAACCTTTTCAAAAGAAAAATGTGAAACAATCTGTACATAAAGAGAAAGTCTTCATTTCCAAGTCTTTAAAGTCTAAAGGGAGATAGTCATCAAATAGTTTTTAAAGTTAGGAATGTTATATAAAATGTTACATAAATGCTTCGTCAAGCGATATAATGTTTTGAAATCAAGATTGACAAATTGGCCGTTTATTGCTTTCATGAGACAAATGAAGAATGATAATCAATCACCGGCTGCCTCATTAACCAGTCTGCTTCCACAAGTCTTCAAATTAGAGTAATATTAAAAAAATAGTTTGGTTGATGTTAAGATCTTGTGAGTTAACCTGCTGCTTTGAATGCTGTATTTCCAAAACAATTGAAATTTGATGCTTGGAGTGAGAAAATCTGTAGTATACATGTGCTTAGTGAAAACGTGTCCAAAACGACTGTGTATGATTTCTTACACTCACGTTCTTCCAAACCAAATAGGCAGGATACATTTTCGGATTCGCCATTTTCTACTGAATTTAAAACCCGTGACGAAGTCCACCGACTCGTTGTTTAATGAGACAAAATACATTTATTAAACTGACACAGTATGCACTAAGCGCATTTGATGAACTTTCAAAGTAAGATAAATGTTAAAGAAACCTATTTTTGACCCAGCTGATGGAATTTAGATGAAGAAACTCATTTTTCGTCATTCAGCTCAGTAGTCCTTGCATTTACAAGTAAATAGCTTCGAGCCACACAAAATCATCCTCCTAACCATCTCAGAGCCTGTTGATTAAATTCAAAAATTTTTATACGTGTCCATTTGCAGCTAAAGTATCGTGTATAACATGAGGCACATCAGTACAAGAAACTCGAGTTCTGAAATGCGTCGGAGCGACAAAAAAAACCGCAACATCTCGATCAGTAAATCAGTCTGAATCGCGCGAGTTTTTCCAAGCACGTTTTCGACGTTCTTGAGGGTCGAATATGGGATCCGAGGATTCCTTTGGCGAGTAGTTATGTGCTTGAATTATTTAATTATCATTTTATTGTTCTTTGTGCGCTTTATGTGCATTTTATTAGCTGGGCAGTTCGGTGGGGTCCAAGTCGAGGTGAATTATGACCGTTGCGTGGAGAATATTATGACGAAATTAGCAGACTTAGTGCATGCTGTGGCTCAAATACCTTCCTAATTAAACATCAAGTAAAAATAGTAAATGCTATTTGACGATTGTTCGAATGCATTTCCTCTTGTAACTCTAATGCTATGGCATCTGGACGATGGTCGGATGGACATATCGAGGCCTCGAGCCACTCTCTGCCCAGTATATCATGCAGCAAGAGCCCACGCCCATTTCAAACAACGTCGTTACCCAACAACAATAACAATTTGT